GACTCATCTTCTGTTTTATGAAGTATATTTGGATTTAGGGTTTCTTGTGGCCTTTGTTAGGTTGATTTGATGTCCAAATAGTCCCTTTCTGGTGATGAGGCTTTGGATATCGATCCATAGAGGTCTAGAGAGCCTCACTCATCAAGCTTTAGGGAGAGCAATGGAGGTTATGACCTTGGGTTATGGTATTTGGGGCTAAATCATCATATATGGTCATATAGATGTTGCATGTACATCAAGATAGAAACTTTATGTGATTATTGAGCTTGGAAAGGTTAGATCTAAGGATTAGAGGAATAGATCTGACCTTAGAAGGTTGTTTGAGGTTGTACATGAAACGAACTCGCCAAGTCCATGAACAAACTCGACGAGTCGGAGCGGGTTGTCCCGCGACTCAGATTAGTGGATGAATCACCGAGTTGGGTGAGTGACTCGATGAGTCATAAAGGATTCAAAGGACTCGAGTTCACGTATGGACTCGACGAGTCTATGCAAGACTTGATGAGTCGGGTCAAAGGTTGATTGTTGACCAACGTTGACCAAGGTTGACTAGTGTTGACTTCATAGTGTTAATCAAACTAAGTCAGGAAGGTATTAATTAGAGATGTACTTATAATATAGGAGGACGATACGTCGGGGAATCGAGCTCGGGTGATTATCCAACATCAGCGTGGTGAGTCTTCTCACTATGCCATACCCGACAGGGTAACTAGGTGTGATCGGAAGGTCTTATGTGTATGATGTTTATGTGATGCATGTTATGATATGTCATGATATGAGTATGATGATATGGACCGGAAGGTCAACAGAGTATGGGTTGGAAGGTCAACAGAGTTATGGGATGGAAATCCCTTCAGACACTTCGATCGGAAGATCCTATAGAGTTATGGCCTGGAAAGGCGTATGTGTTGTATGTGGTATATTGGGGAACTCACTAAGCATTTATGCTTGCAGTTTGTATGTTATGTGTTTCAGGTGCCAGTGATGATTGCAGGAAGGCATCGCCATGATCAGTACACACTTGCAGATGACATGTTTTTTGAGATCTTGGGATATGGATTTTGTATTGTGTTTTTGGTGAAAGTATTGGATATATGATTTTGGGATGATTAGGAAATGAAATGTTTTATTAAATTAAATGAAATTTTGCTTGTAATTTAACGGTGTTACACTTTATGTGCTAAATCGATTGTAGAAGCATAGATCTATCTTTTGATCAAGGGTTGTACATCAGAAATCGAAGATTTAGTGAGTGAATGTGACCAACTCGACGAGTGACCCAACGTTCTGGACTAAGCCATTGTTCTGGAAGTTCATGGGACTCGGCGAGTGCATGAGCAGACTCGGCGAGTCCAAGGCAAACTTCTTAAGGATGAAGATGAACTCGACGAGTTGTTCATACAACTCGGCGAGTCAAGGACAAGACCTGTATATCAGTTGAGATGAACTCGATGAGTTGTTCATACAACTCGGCGAATCGGATGAGAATTCAGCCAATGTTCATTTAGAAGGAAAACTCATCGAGTCATCGCCTAACTCAACGAGTAGAGACGATTATAAGGACAGATGGAAGGATAGGGACTCGGCGAGTTGGCGAGCCAACTCGGCAAGTCAGGTCACTAGAAGTTGACTTTGACTTTGTTTTGGTCAGGGGTAAAATGGTTATTTTACCCTAAGAACATGTTAGCAGTGTATGACTAAGTGTTTTGTGGGAATTATAGCCGGAGGATTTCCGGAGCAGCAGCGGCAGCAGTCAGAGGATTCCCGCACAGATCAGCAGCTACTATGAGGTGAGTTACCTTCCAGTAGTGGTGGGTCTACGGCCATAATGCCGGCCCACCAGTAGGAGTTGTATGATTAGATGATTGTCTTTGTGATAACATCTAGGCTTGCTACTACCTGTTATGTTATATGTTGGCATAATATGTTATATATGATAGTAGTAGAGTTCGATTGTTAGGACCGAAGGGTAGGTCGGACACCCGAGATACATCTGATAATATGTAATGATATGTTATATGCTAGCATGATATGTTATATGTGATAGTAGTAATGTTCGGTTGTTAGGACCGAAGGGTAGGTCAGACACTCAAAATATGTCTGATAGTATGCTTATGTTACGATATATCTGATAGTAGCAGTAAGGGGTGGAATAGTCCTTGAGGGTTGGTTGTTAGGACCGACGGGTAGGTCAGCACCCCAGAATGGCTTGACATGGGTAGGTTGGCACCCCAGAATGGCCGCATGGGTAGGTCGGCACCCCAGAATGGTCGTACCGGGTAGGTCGGGCACCACAGAATTGCCCGACAGTATGTATGCTATGTGTTTGTAGGTTATGTGGTACGATGGAGGAACTGACTAAGCTTCTTGCTTACAGTTTACAGTTTTGGTTTCAGGTACCTCTTCAGCAAAGGGGAAGGAGATGGCGCGGTAGCAGCACATCATACACACACTCTTTGTTTTCCGCACTATGAGTTATTCTGGGATTTGTACTCTGACCTTATCATGTTTTTACGATTCGGTTTTCAGATACGAGACATGTTTTATTAAATGATATGATCGGATGATATTTTGTTACAAATGGTTTGTAAATCACTTTATCAAAAATGAAATTTTTGGATGTGAAAATTGGGTCGTTACAGTTACTGATTTATCTTCTTTTATATGTGGATGACATCGTTGTCATGGCCTCGTTTACATTCTTACTTTGACAAATCATCTCATTTCTAGAAAAAGATTTTTTTATATAACCGATCTGGGTAATCTCTCTTACTTTCTTGACATCTTTGTATCTCGTACAAAAGATGGTCTTTCTATGCCAACACAAATATGCATTGGATATCCTTGAATGATCCAAAATGGTCAATTGTCATCATTTTCTTACTCTTACTGCTACTCAATCCAAGCTTGACGGTTTCAATACTCTAGTTATCGATCACACTCTTTATCGTAGCCTTATAGGGCCCTTATAATATTTACCTTTTCCAGACTAAGCCTCACTTATGTGGTACAACATATATGCTTGTATATGCATGACCTGTATAAGCCTCACATTCATGCATTAAAATGCATTTTGTAATACATGTTCATGAAGCTTGACGTCAACCTTCAGCTTCGTGCCTCAAGCACTTATGGTCTTCTTACATATTCTGATGTCGTCTGGGGATGTCCCTCAACACATGGTATGATGTATTCCTTGAAGAAAACTTACTCTCTTGTTTGTCTAAGAAACAATCAACCATGTCTCGCTCCAATGTTGAATTAGAGTACCGAGGCATGATAAATACAATTGTGGAGAGTTGTTAGATATGACATCTTCTTCGCAAGCTACACTCTCCTCTTGCTAATGATACGATTGTATATTACGACAATGTTAGTGTAGTCAACTTTTCAAACAATCTTGTGCAACATCAAACAACAAACATATACACATTGGCATCCAATTTGTTCTAAATAATATTCACAAAGTGACTTCCAACTTCTCCTTTCACCGCGTTTAGAAAAAAATTGAACATTTGTGCTCAATCTCCTGATCAAAATTTTGAAATATATTTGAGCATATCCAACCCATAATATTATCTATTACACTAAAACCTATAATTATAATGTATAAAATAGTGTTAACAATAAACATCGTCAACCCATTACATTATAATTAACATTAAAAAGAATATTCTAGGTATTAAAAAGAATATTCTAGGTATGTTCTCATCTATCTAGAACAAAATAACATTTAACACAAACCAAAATAAATATGATACATGCATTTTAGAAATATTACACATACACTTAAATAAATACTACATATTTATGCATTGGAATCTTTTCTCATAGTGGTTAGTTAAAACATTTCGTAGATCGAAATTAGATTCTTTATCCTTGTTGTATGTATATCAAACAAAAAATATTGAATTTTTTTTTTTAATCATAATTTATCATTGTTTCTACATCTATCGGTGATACTTCTGTTGCAATTTCAATTGGTACATCAAGATCACATTTATCATCGAATATCATGTTATAAAAATTAACACATGTAATCTTTTGTGTTTTTTATACTACAAGGATTATAATATATATCATTGTGTGTTTTACATAAATCTTATATTGTATTTCAAATTATTGAATAAAATATTATAGATCAAAAAATTACATATAAATTATAACTATAACTATGTAAGAAATAAACTAAAAATATATAAATAACTTAGACTAATATGTACTATCAAAACATGAATACTAAATATAATATCGATGAAGAGTATGCCATCTTACACTATATATAATTGTTAAGTTTATTGTAAAGTTAAAATATTATAAATATTATAATATAGATTTTAATGAAAGAAAATAATTTAATATAGGTTTTAATGTTGGAATGAAGATGCTAATAATTAACAAATTATTTATATTATTGAGACATATTGTTGCATGTAATTTACTTAGCCGGTTACCAAAAGCCCCTGGTTTTTACCTTTGTATTTACACAGTTTGTTTTGGATGTAATGTGATATCCAAAGTTTCTAAACCAAAACTTATTAGGTGGAACAAACCTAAAATTATTAATATTTAATAAAATTGTTTTAAATACATTGTCATGTTAATATAAATGAAAATATATCTAAAAAAAATATTGGAATAAAACTTAGATTACTATCTTATAACATTAAATTTAAAAGTTTTAAATAAGATAAACTTTAGCATTTTACAATTTACATGTTATTAGCATATATTATGATATATTAGCATATAGTCCAAGTGAATCATCCAATTCTTCTAAAAGGTTAACATATGGGATAATGAGACTAACCCCACCGTCCATGATAGCTCGGGTCGGCCGTATGAGACCAAAAGCCGTCGACGTTCAAACCCATTAACCCGTTTGACGGGTCTTCTCCCAACCCGTTTTCTACGAACCCCCTTTTTCAAAATCCATTATGTATTAAACTTCCTAAATCGAAGAAGCAAAAACAATAATTAACCATATTACTTCCATCTGGATGGGCCAATCTTCTTCCTCCCACTCGCCGTCGCCGGCGGGGTCAACCCACCACCACCAGCGGTCCATCACTAGGTCATCGTCTTCTTCCTCCGCCCGATCGGAGATTATTGGTTTTAGGTACTCCAAAGAGGAGGGGTGTTTTGATTTCCCGGATGCAACCAGTTCTTTTATCGACTATACATCTGAAATTCCCGATGATTGTTTAGCCGTAGTTTTCCAGTTTCTTGGTGCCGGCGATAGGAAGCGTTGCTCCCTTGTATCGCGAAGGTGGCTGCTCGTCGAAGGCCAGAGTCGGCACCGCCTTGCTATAGATGCTAATTCGGGATTTGTTCCTTTTATTCCGTCAATTTTTTCTAGGTTTGATTCTGTTACCAAACTCTCGCTTCGATGTGATCGTAGATCTGTTAGTATTGACGATAACGGATTGATTATGATATCTCTCCGGTGTCTTAACCTAACGCGGCTTAAGCTCCGTGGATGCCGTGAAATTACCTATGTAGGTATGGCGGCGTTAGCTAAGAACTGCAAGGGATTGAAGAAATTCTCTTGTGGATCTTGTATGTTTGGTGCTATAGGAATGAATGCGCTCCTGGATAACTGTTCATCTCTTGAAGAGCTCTCGGTGAAGCGTTTACGCGGCATCAACGACGGTGTAACGGCGGAGCCGATTGGTCCTGGTGCCGCTGCTAAGTCGCTCAAAACAGTATGTCTCAAGGAGCTTTACAACGGCCAGTTTTTTGGCCCGTTGATTAGCGGTGCTAAGAATCTCAAAACCTTGAAACTGCTCCGATGCTTAGGCGACTGGGATAGTTTGATGGAAATGATCGCTGTTCCAGAAAATTCTCTTGTTGAAGTTCATCTCGAGAGGCTTCAGGTGAGCGATATCGGTCTCTCGGCGTTATCAAACTGTTCAAAACTCGAAATCCTCCATATCGTCAAGACTCCAGATTGCACTAATGTCGGAGTTATCTCAATCGCTTCACACTGTAAGTACTTAAGAAAACTTCACATCGATGGCTGGAAGACAAACAGAATAGGAAACGAAGCTCTAATCGCCATTGCAAAAAACAGTGCAAACCTTCAAGAACTTGTTCTAATCGGAGTTAATCCCAGCTCAATAAGCCTGGAAGCCATTGCTACAAACTGTCAGAAGCTTGAAAGATTAGCCTTATGTGGAAGTGAAACAATAGCAGACACCGAGATTTCTTGTATTGCATCAAAATGCGTTGCTTTAAAAAAGCTATGCATCAAAGGTTGTCCTGTATCCGATGAAGGGATCGAAGCCTTCGCATGGGGTTGCCCTAATTTGGTCAAAATCAAGGTGAAGAAATGCAGAAACGTAACATATGAAGTTGGTGATTGGCTAAGAGCTAGACGTGGATCATTAGTAGTCAATTTAGACGTTTGTGCAGTTGAAGCTGAAGCTATGGATGCAAGTGCTAGTGATAATGGTGTTCAAGAAGACATGGAAATAACCCACGTGGCAGTTGCTCAACCTCATCCTCTAGCTACTAGCAATAGTGTTCGAGGATCCATTTTCAAGACAAGATTCGGGTTCTTTGGTGCAAGAGGTATTGTAACTTCTACTTTTAGAAGGTTCTCAAATGGTAATACTAATACCAGTTCTAATGGTTGCTCATAAACTGTATCTCACTTTCTAAACAACATTTGAGTTGATCAACATTCAACACCTGTTTCTATTTCTTTCTTCTTCTTCTAAATTTCTGATTTTTGATTTAAAAAAAAAAAACACTGTAACTTGTAGCAGGAAAAGGGCAAATGTGGCCATAACTTGTAATGGGTTCTGATGTTAATATATGTTACATTTTCTTGTAATGATGTTGTTTTATGTTAAATGAAAAGATTTTTGACCCATAATAATCGACTTGTTCAATTTCTTGGAATTTTTCTTTTACAATTTGGTATAGGTTGCTATCTGTTTTTTGGCACTTCTTGATCTATATCAATTCTTCAAGTCGATTTTGGTCTCTTGTGATAAGTTTGGATGTTAATGAAGATTATGAATAGTTGGGCTTGTTGACATGTTCATGTAGTTATTAGAGAATATTTGACCATTTCATGAATCATGACAAACCCTTTATGTGTTCAAGGGCTAACTTGTATAAACGATTTTTAAAAATATATAAGGCTAGAAGAGTGGCAACACTTCTAGCATCCTCACACATCTACATCACTTTTTTGAATGTCATGTCATCTTAACACTCAATTATTAGTATTTATTTGATAGGGAGTGGTAATATTTCTAATATATATTTTTTCTTTTTTAAATTTAATTAAGTTATATTTTTTTTTAAAAGACAAACAATTAAAAATGGAAACTTTTCTAATAGTTCAAATTTTACCCAAATTGTTTCAACTAAAAAAATAAAGACATCTTTATGAAGAGGGATGACTAATTTACCCCTCTCTAAATATATTTGTTAGTTTTTTGTATAACTTTTATGCCCCCCTCTCCAACTTGTGTAATTTACTCAAAAAAAAAAAAAAAAAAAAAAACCTAAACCGTTTCTTATTTGTGGAAGAACCCTGAAGCCTTCGATCCCAATGCAAAAGAAAACCCTAACATTTGTTCCTTGTTCTTAACACTCTCGCCATCTCCATTTGTTCCTTGTCGACTCACCGATTCCTTATTGAGTTACTGCGTATCTTTTATGGCCTTGTCTCTGTTGATTTTTCCTTTGTGGTCTGTCATTGCCGCTTCAGGTAAATGTAAATGATAGATTACAAGTTGGACTTTTTCTTAATCTGCTCAGGTTATTTTCTCTACAATAATAATACCGCTTTTTTTTTTTTTTTTTTCCATCTGATCGATTGAAGCTCCAATAATATTATTTCTGATTTTGCAAATTTGCATCCTTATTTTTGTGATTGATTGTTGAATCTGCTGATTTTGCATATTGATTGGTAAAGTAGCCAATCACACGCAAGCATCCCTCCCTCTCTTCTCTTGCCAAGCCCATAACCAGCTTCATCTAGCGAGCCCCTTAGCAAGTGCTAAGGGGTGGTGTTCTGATGCCCTTAGCGACTTCATTTGGCGAGTCGGCCTAAGAATATGAATGGAAAAATAAACAAGGGTTAACTTGTAAGGCTATGCGGTGCGCATACACCGCATTAAGTTGATGTGAGTTGCGTCGTAATGTAGGAACACCATCCCCATATGCATGGTGGTCAGGTGGTGATATCGCATGGTGTTTTGTTGATATGATGACGATGCTTGACACAAGAAATTTCTTGAACGTATAAGTCCACTTGTATGATGTATAACAACAATTTGGGGTGGTTAAGCGATAGGTTTTTCCTAGGGTAAGGGTGGGAAGTGGTGTTAATGCGACTATCTTTTTCTTGTGTGTTATGACCTCATAGCCTAAAACACATGAATTAATGGCGAAAAGCTGTTTTGCCTATATTATTTGATGAAAATACGAGTTTCTAATACTGATTACCAGTTTTCAAGAAATAATTATAGTTTTCAAATCAACAAAATAACCATCAATTTTGCATGACATTTGCAAAATTGGCAGCCGTTGTGAAAAGATGATTTCATCTACGAAAAGTGGGTAGATATTTAGGTGGGAAAACTCGATTCATTTAGATGTGTAAAATGATAAAATCATCCTTGATGTTCATATGCAAAATCATCTAAGAAATTGATTTCTATCTGTGATTTCGTAGATGACGTGTCCTAAAAGATTGTTTTTTTAAGGCCCATGACATCCATACTACTAAATATGACTAACGTACTGTGAAATTTGGTATCCTGAATGTGAAATCTGACATCTATACTGTAAATTCCAACATACATCCGACAAATTTGATTTAAATAAGTAATGATTATGTTAAATGTGATTTGAGCATTTGGAGCATTCATATGGAACATTTGAGTTTAATGGAACACTTGAAACTTAATGGAGCACTTGGGGTTCATGGAGCATATAACAAAGGAACAGATCATCTGAGAAAGGAATGGATCTCCTGACAAAGGAACAGATCAAGTGACAAATGAATGAATATTCTAAAAGGAGGAATGGAGCGCCTGGAAGTGGAGCATCATAGGTTTGAATGCGCGAGTTAGAAGTCAAGGTGTGCCACTATTCAAACTTGATATGCCATGAAGTAACTTCATGTGCCACGAAGTGGCTTGATATGCCACCAAGTATCATGATATGCAATTAAGTGACAAGATATGCCACCAATTGACATGATATGCCATCAAGTGACAGGATATGCCACTAAGTGACATTATATGCCATTTATGAGGTGGATGCGCCATTGTGGAGTGGATGTCTAGATATGCCAACATTGGAGAGGATGTGTCATCCCTTGATCAAGATGTGTCATCCTCAAGCCTGGTGTGCCATCTTGATGCAAGGATGTGCCACTTGGTTCCTGAATATGCCAATGTATCCCTTGACGAGTCGTGTGCTATGAAGTCTCTTATGATGCTCAAGGTTGTTCAAGGAAGCTCAGAAGTTAAAGATGCTCAAGGATTATTGCTTGATGCGCCACCATAATGGTTGATATGACATGGTGATCTTAATGTGCCACTCTTGCATCTTGATATGACACTATGGATCATGTTGCTCCATCATGTGTGTTGTTGATGATTATGCAAGGATGAATGTTCCAGAAGATGTTGCATAGCGGATTGTGATTGGTTGACACCTTTCATGGGTCTGTGGGCGAATGGACTTGGTTCATTAGGGTTTTAGGTCTAATTCCTCAAGTGTAAATAGGGATCCATGCTAAGTTATTTTATATCTTGAATTCTAGAGTGTTAGGCGAATCTTTGTGAAAATTTTAATTGTAACCTCTGTTTGAGAGCTCTGAAATAAAGAATACTCCCCTCCTGTCCATGGACGTAGGCCATCCTGATCGAACCACGTAAATACTATGTCTTGTGTGCTTTTAGTTTTGCAAGTTATCTTCTTTACTTCTTAAGGAAGCATGAATTGTCATAGCATGTAAATACTATGTCTTGGTTTACCCTAGTTTAGTAATCTATGGAAGCATGAATTGTCATAGCAGCGGGTAATCTGCGGTTCTAATTCTGGTGGGAAGCCTTGAATTATCAGGATTTGGTTACTCAGTCTAAGGGATCAATTGAATGGAAGTAGCAACGAATCAGTAGATAAGGCTTGTCAGGAAGACAGACCGGTTTTGGGATTTCAGGTTTTAGGGTTCAAGAGAGGTGGGTGATATGGACATATTTAGCTATAAAATCCATGCATTATCTTAATACTTTATGTTGATTTTGTCTCATTTAATGAACAAAAGGTGCTTAATTAGTTTAGAATTTAATTTTTCAGCAACAAAGACATGCTCGAAAGGAAAAGGAAGCGGAACTAACGATTGGAGGCTTGGATCTTGGATTTTGAAGAAAGAAGGATGTTGCTGGACAGCTTGACCCCTCGTTAGTGTTTTGGCCATATCTCATGAACCGTAACTCCGATTGACGAGATTGAAAATGTTCTGAAAACTAGACACAATTTCGGACGACTTTTGTGTTTTGAGAAAATGCTGATTCCAAACGTACTCGGCGAGTAGGGTCGATTACTCGCCGAGTTGGTCAGAAGTTTCGCGATTCTGGACGCACTGACTTGCCGTACACGGGTTTTAAGTGATGGACTCGCCGAGTAGCCCCTGTTTTGTGAAAATCTATATAAAGGGACTTTCAGATCGATACCCTAGCATATAGATGAACCCTTGGAGGCGAATTGTCGAAAAAAAGGTGTTGTTGGAGCGTGGGAAGCAAGGGAATCAACCCCACATTCAATTTTAAGGAGAATCAAGTCAAAATCAAGTTTACTCTTACCTAATCTCTTGTTTGAACTATGTTTTTACCAATTGATTTTGTTTTTGTTCTTGTTTCTACTGTAATCATGAGCTAAAAACTCATAACTTCTGTTTAGGTAGATGAATTTGTGAACATGGATTGATTATTTGATTAGGATTAATTTTAATTGGTGATTATGTTTTATTAAGCTTGTTAAAGAACCTTATGTGTTAACAATAACTATTCTTCTGTTAATAAATTAGTAATTAAGTTGTATGAACATCTCTTAGTTGCTAATTTCATATGATTTACGTGACCACATAGTTGTATGTCTAGGAATAACGAATGTGAAACTAGAATTAACTTGAAGATAGGTAAGTTAATGTGTGAGCTTGTGTGATACACCATCAACAAGAGGTTAATTGAATCACCAATTTGATTAACTATTACAAGTCTTATTTAACCCGAATCAATAACTAGGAAATCCGTTGATTTAGACAACTGGCCACTGCTTGAGTTAATTTGTTTCCTAAGGATTAGTAATAGCAAACGTGAAACTAATCATCTTAGTCGGTAGCCAATGAAGAATTAATCCGATACATTGAAATCATCCATGGGAACAAATGAGTCGAACCTAAACAGAAGTCCTCTTTATTATTGAATTTAGTTGATTTTTATTTGCTTAGCTCTTAGTTTCTTAGTTTAAGTTTTAGTTAATTGTTTAAGTTTCTAGTCTTGCAAAACTAGAGAAAACCCCCTTTCTATTACTTGTTTTATTTAGATAATATTAGCATCTATTTTAATTGTTTACCGTTCCCTGTGTTCGATACCCTACTTACCTGAACTAA